ACTGACGATCAATACAATCAAAATGATAGTAGCCTAGCATACAGATGCAGTCGATTTCGGGCTCGGCAGTTGACGATTTATTTAATATTACAGAAGTACTCACATTTTCTCACATTTTCTCACATTCTCAATTTATAATAAAGTACAGTGGTACTGCAGTATATTATGTTATGATAAATTATACTCCAGGTACTAGGCCCTAGTGTAAAATATTAGGTATTTTTATGCAGACAGTCGGTGCAGTAAGAATCCATGCTGCCGCCGTGGTGTCATGATGAAAACATGTGCTACGGCGAGTTCATAGTTCACCAAACAACATGTTTAGACAGGCCGTCCGATGGGCGAACATCGATTGGATTCATCGAAGTTCTTGAGTTGACCCGGCTTCTGGGGGGCTGGGACTGCAATTGACAAGTACATTAATTAGGAGGATTTGCAGAGGAAATCACAGACAAGAGACTCAAGTTTCAAGCAAGCGACCCGGTTTCTTATCAGAGGCGCGGTTGTGCTATTATTACCTAAAAGATAACAGGTTTGTTAAACTGAGACAGTCACCATTGGCAACGGGAATTTGGCTGTGCATGTACAGAGGTTCCCATAGTAGTGTAGAATATTGTTGAGTGTCTGTTTCATTTGATTACCACTCCCTTACTTGTTTGTAGTTTGGTCTGCGTTGACGATGACTTGTTAATTAATTGTTAATTTGAGAAGCCTGCGTCAAATAAACAGTTTGTCTGAACCGTTATTAGCGTTAGACGCGTCCAGATTTCGGACGTATTCAGGACGCATCGTGGACGAATTCAGGATGCGTCAGATGCGTCTAAAACGTGCAGCATTTATGAACGGTACTGTATAATCCTAGTCACAAGGAGCACCAACCTTTGCACAAACCATCTTCCAGTTGTATAAATCTGATTATTTCAAGATATTGTAATTTTTATTAATGAAAAGCAATAAAAAAATTTTTTTTTTTTGGCAAGTGAAAATCTATTTTGACAAGCAGATACAACAAATCACTGATCCAACTGGAAAAATGGACCCTGTGTAAATCTGGAATAACAAATGGCTGTCTTTATTCAAGAATATTTTTGCATTTTTAATATAGTTTTTGTTTCACCTCTTACAAATTAATGGTTAATTTATTATTCATATTGTCTTCCAGTCTTATTTAAATGTGTATGAAACATTAATATTATTAAAATAGAATCAATAATAAATTTAAGTTTAATAAATTATGTTCAAGGTAAATTAAATGTCATAAAACATGTATACAGAATCCATGTTCATGTTAAGTTGTAACTTAATCACAGTGGTGATGTGCTTTTATTGCTCAAATGATTGTACAGACACACTGTGTAAAATCAATCAGGTATTACTCTGCTAAACATCTGGAGGTACATTCGATAGCTTCAGCACACCTGTTTGAACCAAACATTAAATTGAGGGCTAGCCTAGGATTATTCTACGAAATTAATCAGTCAATTCTACTTAATAAACATTTCTCAGGAAAATTTTTTTAATACTATTTTTGCCTCCTTAGAGAAATAAAGTGCACCTGTAAGGCCAAAAAAAAAAAAATGTTCTGGTTCTGGTCAGAATAAAGTTACAGAATTGATGCGGCGATGCGGTTTTTTTTTTTTGGTTTTTTTTTTCTTTTTTTTTTTGTTTTTTTTTGAAAAGCATGGGAAGTACAGAAAAGGTGTTTTTAGTATCTTTTTTATGTTCTGCTAATGCTATACATTGTTGTCCTTCCACATTCCACATCCTCGATTTCGCTTTATTTGCCAAGGGGCCCGTCTTAATTCATCATCATTATCAGCATTAATGGGTACGCTTTGAAAAAATCCGACGGCCGTTGATCCCACCATAGCCGTGACTTTCTTCGATCTCGGGTGCAAATGTCGCTCACCCGTTTGGGGAGGACGACGGACTTTCATCACATACTTACACGCTCCGCAAACTCGCCGAGCTACGGTATCGCACGATAAAATGCCAAAAGGTCCCTTATATTACGGTGTATAAGCCGCACCTGTGTATAAGCCGCACTTCTAATTAAGACGCGAAAAATCATGATGTTTTTTTTGTCACCTAGCTATGTATAAGCCGCATCTATTTTTTAAGCCCCAAACCGTTCCCATAATTTTAATTTTTTAATTATTTTGAAACACTGACATATTTATTTACAAATGTTACAAACTTCATCTTTTTCTATTGAAAAAGATGACAAACAACTGGAAATGCGTGTAAACTTCAGGCTAACACAATGAAACAAGTATTCTGCTCTGAGGAAATCCCCATTTCATGCTAGACGGTCGTGCTACGTTAAAATTTCAACATCAGTTTAGTTTAATAAAATCTAAGAAAATAAAATACTTATTGAGTATATTTATCTATTTTAAACAATCATTCTATTATTATGGTGACTAATAACAGTCGTATTAAGCTTAATATATTGGTAATTCCTGGCCTAAGTCATGACTACTTACAGCCCATTGTGCGAAGCACGCACTCATCATGCACCACGTTTTATAAACAAAAACAGAAGTGGAGAAAATATCGTGTGATACAAAGTTTACGCATCCACAGATGACGAATGCCTTTCTAAAGTCAAATTCAAGTAAAATAATTATTACAACTTCAAGAAAACTTGTGTTTTTATAGCATAAATTAATTTCACAAGTTTTTATTCTGAAATTTTAGCGGATCATTCTCTCTATAACGGTACAAGCCACCGGGAACCTGGAACGTCAAACAGCAAGTTTCAACAACCTGCCCACGTATGTTTTGCGACATTCGTTAATGAAGCTGCTCACGTGACCCAGGACCAAATTCGCGAAAAGTAGTTTGGTAGTTTTCGAACAGCATGTTTCAAATTTTTTTATGAATGAATGATTTAGACAACCCAAACTATTGCTTGAATGATGTCGTAGAAATCGTAGTAGGAATCCTAGTACAGCATGCACTGTAGTGAGTATAATTACAAATACTAAGCCTACAAACCGGCCCTACCCTAGGATAATTAATTGGGCTAGCAATGGCCAAATCTAGAATGGATAAGCCGCACCCCAAAATTGCTGTATGTCCGGTGAAAAATTTAAAAAAATTGACGCACAGTGTCTAAATCGACGCGTGCGCTGACCAGAGACAGAATTTTTTTTTTTTTGGCCTAATATCACGGAATTATTTTTTTCGGATTTTTCTGCCGTGACTAAAATATGGCAACCAAGATTATTGCAAACCGTGTTTAAATTGTTGTTGATTATTTTTTTTTAAATATGTGTCAGGATACATGCTAGGGGAGAGAGGGGGTGGTTAAACCATCCTTCAGGTGATGCATCCCTCAAGTGACCGTGAATATTAGACAGGACTGATCTGGGTTAATCAGTACACATCTGGCAATACTTGCAGTTGAATTGCTACTGCTTAAAGTCACAATCATGGTCTATCGATCGAGCGGTTGAGGTGCTGGGTCATGAGCGAGATTATCAACAACAACAAACAATTTTTTTTTTTTTTACAAAGCAAAAATGTCAATAATGTATGACATGGAGAAATTCAAATAAAGTAAACATTCTTGTATGTGAGTTTCTTTTAATCGTTTTCTTATTGAGTGTTGAAAAGCTGTAAGGAAACAATTCTAAGGTATGTTTGATTCTCACGATCCCCTTCTCAGCCAAACGCTGCTTTAACCATGAAGACAGGACTGTGTTTTACTACGTTGTTTGGGCGACCATACTGTATCGTACCTTTGTAGGCTTACCTGTTTTGCAGATCTTAATTCTGACGGAATATAGAATACATGTCCAGACATCTTATGTCGTGCAACTCAACTAATCATGATAGGGATGCGCCTGAGTCGTTGAATATGTCTGTTACATTATTTATAGACTAGACTAGTCCGAATTTATATTGTATACAGACCACGTGCAGCGAGCCCCGACGAATGGCTGGTAACAGGTACGATATCGTGCGAAAATAAATACCTGATATAGGTCTAATGCACACCTATGAGAGATCTGGCTAAAATGTAACAATTAAGGATTTACAGTATTTTCAATCTTTACTACAGAAAATAAATTTTATATTGAGTAGGCCAATTTCCTTTTAAATCGGAGTTACAATTTAGTCGGAACCCATCAATAAATAGCGGAATTGTTGCCCTAAATAATATATTTATTATTGATTATATATTGTAATAAATAAACAACTTGCTACACTAATAAGCATTTAGAAGTGTATGAACTTTGATTATAACTGAGTTGCAAGTACAGTGCACAAACACATGTTCCAGTTGTTGGAAGTATGCAGTGCGGTTCGTTTTCTGTTCGATATCTCTTTGTGCACCAACAATTTGTTAATAAATATGCTGTAAATTGTCAAGCCAAGAGTCAGAATTTGTTTAAGTACTGTAAATAAAAGCCTTATGCACATAACATGGTAACGTTGCCTATTCTAAAAGTATTTGTCCCAAGTGGGTTTGCTCATGCCTACAGTTATGCTGCTACTGAATATACATATTTGAATGAAACTAGCTAGTTATACTATATATTTTAGTCCACTTCTTTCACTTTCACTTTCACTCTAAAAACTTCTATCTAATATTGTACTACTGTACACTGGGAAGTATGAATGGCTTTAAAAATCCTTTCCCACATTTCTGGGCCAACTCACAACATTATAGAATATTATAAGATACCAAAAAGAAATGGTTGAAAAATATGTAGCACTATAAACATAACATAATTTCCAAGAACAAAATGTTGACATGGCAGACATTTGAAATGACGATCTATCATTTACTCTCTTGGTTTTCGTGCGAAACAATTCAAATGATCGTTACATGATTTTTTTAAACATTAAGAAAATACAATTTTACTCTTCATTCTCTTTGCAATTTGGCGGGTACTTATTCAATTAACAATAGAGTACATACAGTTAAAATCAAGTAACGATTGCATAAATTTTTTGATTTGACTTGTTTTTATAATTTATTTACATACCTGGGCCAAGGGTTGTAAACATCAAATTTTATCACTGTCCTGAGAGCAATGTAACTCAGTGTTCACTGAACCATGAAAGATATTTTTAGATTTTTGGTTCCTTGTTTAATGCCACTGCTGCTCTACTTGTGTTTTAGCTGGAGGTCTAAAATATGAGAAACAATTGAACAGCCTTCGAAAGAGATGTTTTTAAGCTTGTAGAGTATAAAATATCACACAAATGCAAGCTAAAGTACCATAAGGAATACACAATTCAGAAAATAGGAATTTTCTCGCACTGTACTGCAAAATTCACAATCGCAACTATTGATAAAGTCTTCAGACTTTGAGGGGGGAAATTCTTGGTGTTTCACAATTCCTTTCACTAGACTTTAATATAGAACAGATGATGCTAGCTACAGTAGGCTTACATATAGTTGTTAGACAGTTGATTTTTTTATTGTAAAGTTAAAATCTTGTCAACTGACCAACCAAGGATTTAAAAGGCAAGCATCTTTTAACCACCTGGAACAGCTCACCCCTTAACTCCACATTTCTCATTGGCTTTAGCCTGCGCAAACTTTCTCTGGAGTACTTTGACATCCAAAAACACTGCAGGTTTTATGCATCCTTACAACAAGAAGGTCGTTCACTGGCTCCAGCAGTAGTTCTCAGAAATTTTCATTTTAAATTTAGCGAAAATGGTATATAGGATGACACCTTCTACCACTTTCTCTTTCCTCAGTACACACACATCCATTAAGCAACTGATGATTTGCAATTTTTGCAAATCACCTAGAAGGGTTTCTAATGTTGACAAAAATACAGAATGATAGAAAGGTAATTTAACAACACTCCCATCCCTCTCCCACTCAGCCACAACCAGCTTATTCTCTGTTGCAGTGAATATGCAACTTAGCTGACTGTTTTACCACCAAGGAAATGTTTCTTGTTTTCTGGTCCTGTTTCTTTGCTTAAAAAAATGTTACTCTCTTGGCAATTTAGAAACAAACCTTATATTTATGAAGAACTCTCTACGAACAATATGCATCCTTCGTAGACATTGAACAGATGTTATGTAGTAATAAAATGAACAAGCCTGAAGACATTTAAAATACAATTCAATCCGAGCTAACTATACAAATTACACTTTTTTTTTTTTTATAAGAACCAGTAAAATTTTGCCCAGACTCAGTGTTCTCATTTTTTGGCCGATTTCAGGCTCAAAATGTTCTTAATTTGTTCTTAGTTTACACACCTTTTAAACAAAAATTATTTAATTGTACGGCAGTATGCACTGTACTGGAATGTAGGTGAAAGTGACCCCACAAAAAATGGCCCCCAAATGTCAGTTTATAGTTTAGAGGGTATTACAGTCGTCACACCTACTGCACATAATGTACAGATCATATTTTGGTTTTTAAAAATATAAACCTCATTTGAAATTTTACCTCAGCCTCAATTTGTTCTTATTTTGTTCTTAATTTTTAAACAATTTCAGCCTCAGTGTTCTTATAAAATGTGTTCTTAAAAAAAAAAAGTGTATGTTTGCTTTTAAATACACCAATGCCAAACTTACTAGTAATTTGGAGCAGACACTTGGTCTATTGTCCATTTAACCTAATTTCAAACTGGAAACAATCAGGGCAGGAAAGTATAGTTAGTAATGGTAGTTTGTCACCTCATTAGAAAAGGTTGTATAATTATATAGACTTTTTTTTGTGTTAGGTTACACTAACTAATGTGCTATTTATTAGTCAAAAATACAAATTGCAATGTACCAATGTAATTTGGTCAAAATAATATTTATAGTGAAATTATTTGTGATATTTAAATTATTATCCGGAAACAGACCTACTTGCTAATAATAGAGTTTTATGTGTAATTAGCGGATTGGTAGTTAAATTGCTAGCCTCATACCGCACAAACCTGGGTTTGAATCTTAATTTGAAACTTGATTTTATTCTAAAACTTGATAAAGTTTATCATATACAACAACATGTAAAACATATAGTACGTTTGTAATTTATGCAACATGTGTAAGGTTGTACGCCAAATAAAATCTTGCAAATTTCCAAAACAAAGAGTGATTAATGACTACAAATATACATACCATAGGTACAGAAGATGGTTAGTGATGCACAACTGTATCTCAAGCACATCATAACAATTTAGCAGACACCTCTATATTACCGACACAAAGCCTTGTTTTGCCATTCAACGCACACCGCAAACAGCTCAACGCGCATACAATAATGATTATATCTGGTACAAAAATTATTCTGTGTACACATAGTGAATATCAAAGTTGATTTCTTTTCTGGTTTATTATATCATTTGCAGCTTAACTAACTTGCTACTTGCATAATGGAATGTGATGCCCTTTAATTTCTTTTTACTCAAATGCCAAATGGTCGAAGTTAAATTCTTTTTCAACAACAATCACATAACCCTAATATCAATATAAAAAAAATATATAAATAAATAAAAGGACTAAATTGCCAACAGTAAAATACTAAAAATCAATGCAAAACAATGTGTGTATTCGCACTAATAACTAATATACCGATAAAAAAACAGGGAAATATCGCCCAATTGAAACCTACGATATGAAACGATAGGCAGACGAGAAAAAAAAGACTTTTATTATACACAGCGTACATATGCCTATTAAATATAAATACAGTGCAAACTGTTTTACCAATTTCCTTGGTTTGACGACATACGTAAAATTTATTTTCTGCTATGGCCCGTTTCAAGCAAAATTTTGACTTACCAAGCAGTTTTTAAAGCAAAAAAATGTAGACCTAAGTCGGCAAAAAACTGTTGCCTTTGGGACAATTCTGGCTCGGCAATATGGTCGGCAATTGCCGAATACCGACGTGAAATTCATGGGCTGACACAACAATCATCAGTGTCTAGGAATTAACAACTAGGCCTAGCACAACACCCTGTATGATCCACTTGTACTTCTTAGCTCAGTCCCAATAGCATTGCCATAGAGATTATCTATCGATAAATGATGCATCAGTAATGTTAATGTCAGATAAAGTAAAAGTTATACCTTCCATTGTTGAAATTTGAAAAAAAAAAATGAAATTTAAATCTGTTAGATTTATTTAGATTTGACTCTAAAATAAAACCACGAGCGTTTCTGATTTGTTTTAACAAATCTGTTTAATTAAAAATTTATCTGTTACACTGAGCTTTTTCCTGTCACCAAGCTGTCATCCACTATGAAACTTTGGCCGATCTGACGTCATCACAGCTTAAGCGCATGTTTGCAAATAACCCCACAAAAAATTAACCAATTAGTAGGCAGAGTTTAGGAGGTCCGACCTGATGTTTACAATAACCGATCAGAAAAGTGGCATCGTGACTACGAAGAATGTGTTGTGTTTAGAAAAAAATATCAGACCGAAAATAAATGTTAAAATAAAAGCATTTGTTTTAAGTTTGTTGTATTTATTTATTAACAGTTCAATCTTTTCTTCCATTTCTGTTATAATAATCACTATATTAATGTAATAAACTTGCTAGATATGATCGCAAAATACATGTAAACACCACCGTTCGGCGATCTAACAACCAGAAAGAACACGATAGAAAGGTCCATAAAACATACAGATGTTTTGAATAAGATTTAAAATAATATTTTGTGAAGTGGAAGGATGCCAGAAATTAAAATACAGCAGATCCCCCCCTTTGAGACACCCCTATTAAGGGGACACTTTTCCGTGAAACGAGGGCATTGTATCTTTTAACACTACCGTCAACCCCTTTCAAGGGCACACCCCTATTAAGGGCACGGGAAAACTTTCTGAGTGTGCCAAATGGTCAAATAACCCCTTACACTTAATTTCTATACAGCGCCTTTTCTGTGTAGATACAAAGCCTGTCTTTTTCCCTGGTCATTGGATTCTTGTGTTTTAAGTGTTGCTGCTGGTAAACATTGCAGCAGTAGGCAAACCCCACCAGATACCCAGGCCTCGAATTTGGGGATTTTATGGGCAAGGCCAAATGGCCTCCGGTATTACATGATTTTGAAAGTCACCAAGGCCAAATGGAAAGGCACCAAGGCCAAAATTTCAAGTATAAAAGGGCACCCAAGGCAAAATTTGATTTAGCCTCAGTACTAATTTCTCACGAGTGCCTTGATTCGTCGTAGCCAGGCTAGGCCTAGCCAAGCTATAGTTGTCAGTGGTAATAGGACTTTAACTATTAATTATCGATTCAATGTTGGAATATACTGCGGCGGTCGGCGATCGTACAAAACAGTCAAATTTCAAGAAGTTTGATATCTTTGAGTTGTTGTTCAGTCTGTCGTCATCGGAGAGTAAGCCACAACTCTAAACTGGCCGCGAAAGCTGCGATGACGTAAGATCGCCCATAGTTAGCTGTGCAGCAAGCACATGTTTACAACTATACAAAGGCCGTATTCGACTGGTCGTTCTTTGTTAAACCACGCCCACCTGCGCAACGGTAATAACATTCTACTCAACGAAGATGACCAATCGAATAGAAAACGTTTAAATACTCGACAAAACAAAATGGCTGTATAGTTACCGCGATACACGTTGCGTAATCAAGACTACTTCAACTTGTGGTAGTATGGGTTTTTCGTTAAAAAAAATATTTTCATCTAGTTTTTTTTATTCTGTTTGCCTACAATAATTTTTTGACTCCATGTGGGTAAATATTATGTATATTTTATGAAATTTAATCAAAATTAAATTTAATTTAAATTTAAGTTATATTAATACAAATGTTGTTAATAAAAAATCACCAATCGGCCATGTTTCTCTTTGGTCACGTGGATAACTTAACGCTGATTAACGCACTCTGGTTTTACGTTAATTTTCGTTGTCAACAAAGTCTATTTAACGAACCAGTCGAATGAAAATAATACTCAACGAAAATTTGTTCCAACGAAATGAACCAGTCGAATGAGCCCATGTTTATATTGCAATAACCACTAGAGTAAGACGCATGCGCACACAACAGTAACCGCAAAAACAGTTTGTATCAACACATGGAAATTCTCTCATGTTCTGTTCTGTCACTGCAACCTGGCCTAGGCCTAGGCTAGCTAATTAGGCGACCTACGTTTTTGACTTACGTGTTTTCTTCCAAGATTTAAACGTTCTTTCTTAGATTTATTTTACGTGTCAAACGACCTATATAAAGCATCGTGAGGGCACCAAGGCCAAGGCTTCAAAAGGGCAGGCAAGTAGTGGATGTCGTCGTGCTTCATTTTCAGGGGCACCAAGGCGAACTGGGAGGGCACGGTCGGCAATGGCCGCGGTAAAATTCGAGGCCTGGATACCCAACTCCTGTGTGGAGAGAACCCATGCAGTGATGGTTTGATAAAACTGGGAGGGCATAACATGTACCATACAGGTAGGTGATTACAGGAGAAGCAATGCAGATAAAGTGCCTTGATGAAGGACACAAGCAAAAAGTTCAATCAATCTGCATACAACGTTGTTTCGTCCTTGAAGGACTCATCAGTGCAGCTCAGATAAATTTGTGATTGAACCTTAACTATGAAACAAGCAAGCTTGTAACAAGGCAGTTTAAAAGCGCTCGTAATACCATGCCAAGAGTGCTCAAACTACATATAGTAGCTGTCTCTTATACACATCTAGATGTGTATAAGAGACAGATACCGCACAAACCTGGGTTTGAATTCATATTATAAATGAATTGTATTTGCAGTAAAAATTGTTGCTATTATAAATTAGTTCTAATTCTATTTAGCTGATCCTTATGTGAACAAAAATAAAATTATACAGAATTTATGTCATCATTATATGAAAACATGCCAAAAACCCCTATTAAAGAACAATTTTGTGTTTTTTGCTAGTTCAGGAGACATCCCTATTCAGGGGACACCCCTATTAAGGAGACACTTTTTTAGGATCCCTTTAGGTGTCCCCTTAATAGAGGTTTTACTGTAATTTGGTTTTTATCAAAGGTAAATTCAACTAGGCTCTAGTGCAGTAGACGAAGCTGCTGCACTGTCGGTTTGTGCTACTGTAGGCCTGGCCGCCGTCAGCCTGTCAGCGCTCAATGGCAGGGGACAGCTAGGAATTATCGCTTCGTATCTGCGCATAACCTCTCGTAGTCTGCTCGTAGGTTACGTTTTGAACGTAGC